CATCTCTGCGGCCGCGCTAGCCCGCGCATGCTCGCGCGCAAAGCGGCCGGCTAGTTTGGCGCGACCGACGCAGCCGCGGTGGCGCTGACCGCTGGGCAAGTCCCAACGGGCACATCAGTGCGAGTCGGTGACTTGGGCAGGCGCGGTACCATAACGACGCCGACAACGGTAGACACGATTATGCGAATAACAATGATGGTGACGATGGCGGCGATGACGACGGCAAGACCAATGACGGCGCCGATGTTGATCGCGCCCGCCGAGAAAGATGACGATGTCCTCACGTCGGCGATGAAGGTGTTTGACGGCATTCGACATGCGCGCGCGGCCGGCGAGCGCGAGAGGCCCGCGCGGTATCATCTGACACGGATCGTTTCCCTCCCCCCAGCACGCGCGCAAGCGTTCGAATGAGTTCGGCATTCGGCGCGAGATGCCCGTTTGGCATCATGTGATGCAACTGTTGGAAGCCCAAAGTGTTCTTAAGAACCTGCAAGACAGGAACCGCATGATTGTTTTGACAATTGTTGTTGCACAAATCATGTGTTTTGATATGACTTCGGGACGCTCGTTTTTGAAACCCTTACGAAACCTAAGATTTGTGATGGACTTGGGCATGCGCGCGCGACGACGCGCGCGTGTTCATTTCGTCTCATGTTTTGCAAGGGCTTCGCCCGACAACACGCGCGCAAGGGCGCTCCAACGATCCCGACACGCGCGCGCGGAAGGCCCGCTTGGTAGCATGTTATGGAAATGTTAGAAACAATGGTTCCCAAAAGAATGTGCAAGAGCGCGGGCGCAGGTTTTGTTTGAAACCTCGTTGCGAAACCATGCCCGTTGAAACCCCGATGTGAAACCATGCTCGCGCGACGACTGGCGTTTGTGTGCCTGCACTTCGTCTCGTTTGTTGCAAGGGAATATTGAAAACTGATGCGTTTGGATAACTTAGTGCGCGCGCGTAGTATTTTTTGCAACGGGTGAACTGGGATAGTATGAGCTCGTATTTCGGATGGACGATGGGGCAGAATCATGCGCACATTGCAATACGAAAAGGTGGCCCTTCAACCCCGTGGGGGGGCGGGGATCTTAAGAATTTTTCAGCGAGGAGAATTAGCAAACGCTCACTAACTAGTTGTCGACCCCATTGCTCGCGCAATCATCCCACCCTCCCACCCGTAACTCGCAAAACCCATGCGGCCGCGATTGCGGTGACTACTCGGCACTGGCTGGCACACCCCTGTGGCTGCGCCAGCGCGCGCAAGCTCGCGCGCAGAGCCGCCCGCTGGTAGGGCACAGCCGATGCGGCCGAGATGGCGTTTACCGATGGGGACTTCCCAGCCCGTCTGTAAGGCCGCGGTGGCACGCGGGCGCGCGCGGAAATCCAAGAAACCTGATAGGCTGCTTGTTGAAAAACCTGTTGTGGTCAAATGCGTTTGACAAGCTCGACCTGGATTGCTGAGCGGACCACAACGGTTTTGGAAGAATCTTAATGCGCGCGTGTGGCGGCGCGCGTGGGGCCCGCATGGTATTCGTTGACGCGGTTTGGTGCTGTAGGCGGATGCTAGGTCAAGAAGGATGCAATGCGTGGTGAGATGATAATGCGGGTTCTGGACGAAATTGCTGAATTAAGATGGTTGCCCTCTGGTTTCAGCAAGTACGCGCGGGCCGGCGATCTGCAATAATTATTCGTGATGGCAAAACAACTGTGCTTGACATGTGCATTTTGAAATGCTGGCAGGACCTGTTTCTTTGGTGTGAGTTCGACATGTGAGCGCGTGTGAAGACTGCGCGCTGTCTTTCCCAACGGAATCTTGAATACGCATCTTCTGGGATAAACGAGTGTGCGCGCATGGTATGATCTGACAAGGACGGGGGGGAGGGGATCACCGGTCTCCCGGAATTGTGCGAATTCACACGGGAAAAAAAACATGATCCCGGCGAAGGTCCCAACCATATGCAGTTGTGGGTACCGTAATTGCGAATATCTGCTTAGGTGAAGCTCCCTATGGGGCCACGAAGCGCTGCACTGGGCAGGGGGGGACGCTGTGCTGTGTGGGTGGTGTGCCGAATTAGGTTTCTGGGACGCATGCGGACGGTCCCACTGAGTGCTTCGGTGGAGCTCCCTATGGGGCCACGAAGCGCTCTACTGAGTGAGTGAAAATGCCAAATTGGGTGTCTGGGACGCATGCGAACTGTCCCACTGGGGGCTTCGGTGGAGCCCCCTATGGGGCCACGAAACGCTGCACTGCGCGGGTGAAAATTCCAAATTACGTTTACGGGACGCATGCGGACGGTGGCACTGGGGCCTTGGGTGGAGCCCCCTATGGGGCCACGAAACGCTGCACTGGGTGGGTGAGAATACGAAATTAGGCTTCCGGGACGCATGCGGACGGGGGCACTGGGGCCTTCGGTGGAGCTCCCTATGGGGCCACGAAACGCTGTACTGGATGGGTGAAACGCAGGGAGGAGGGGGAGGAAGGCCACGAAACGCTGTACTGGGTGTGCGGGACGCATGCGGACGGTAGCACTGGGACCTTCGGTGGAGCTCCCTATGGGGCCACGAAACGCTGTACTGGGTGTGCGGGACGCATGTGGACGGTAGCACTGGGACCTTCGGTGGGGTTCCGGATGGGGCCACGGAACGCTGTACTGGGTGTGCGGGACGCATGCGGACGGTAGCACTGGGACCTTCGGTGGAGCTCCCTATGGGGCCACGAAGCGCTGTACTGGGTGGGTGAAACACAGGGAGGGGGGAGAGGCGGGCCACGAAACGCTGTACAAGGTGTGCGGGACGCATGCGGACAGTAGCACTGGGACCTTCGGTGGAGCTCCATATGGGGCCACGAAGCGCTGTACTGGGTGTGCGGGACGCATGCGGACGGTAGCACTGGGACCTTCGGTGGGGCTCCCTATGGGGCCACGAAACGCTGTACTGGGTGTGCGGGACGCATGCGGACGGTAGCACTGGGACCGTAGGTGGGTCTCCCTAGTATGGGGCCAAGAAACGTTGTACTGGGTGGATGAAACGCAAGGAGAAAGGGGAGGAGGGAGGAGGAGGGAAGGATTGGGAGGAGGAGGGGGAGGAAGAGAGGAGAGGAGAGGAGAGGAGAGGAGAGGAGAGGAGAGGAGAGGAGAGGAAAGGAGAGGAGAACGCGGGCCGACGTCTTTTCAAAACGAGGACCCAACACCACCACAGGATAGTTGGGAATGAAGCAGAATCCCAAGGGGAGGTCGATAAGTCCAGGACGGGGAGTGGGAGGGATCGATGTTTCTTTTTGAGCGAAAACGTATGTAGTGCAATGTGATGTGGTGCAGTCCATCAGTGCTGTGTATAGATTTGCGGCGCCAGGTATTCCACAGTATTACCAACATGGGCAGAAAAAGGACCCTCTAAAACAGTCAGAGATCGCAGCAATGGCGGCATCATAGGGCGCGCGGCACCAGCCATAGAGCACCACCACTGTAGGGCACCAAAGCAAGAACGAGAAATCGTAAAAATGATCTCCAGCTCGTTCTGACACAGGCAAGAGTCCCCTAGTGCAAACATCGATTGGGGAACTCGACCCTCGTTCCTCCAGTAGAAGGAGACACATCGCTATACACATCAACTGTCGTAGGTCCGCGTGGATTTCTCGGATCGGCGCGGACCGCCGCTGACACCCCTCTGGTGTGTGGAGGGGGCGGCGCTGGAGGCGCCGCCAGGTGGTGGTCGAGCGCCGATCCAAAAAATCCGTGTGGACCTCGGACAGTACATGATTGCGCACTTTGTTCTTCTTCGGTCGACGGCCTCGCCCCCAGCGCCCTCATCCCGCCTGAGGCCCATTTCCTTCAGGACGCCCCCCCCCTCCCCTCCCTTGCTTGCTGCAGGAGGACCCGCCTCCTCAGGATCCCGACCCTCCTCCCACCCCAGACGTCGTGCCTGACTTCTTCCAAGCGCGGACTCCCAGAGGTCGGGACCCCCGCCCCGGGACCGAGCTCTCACACTCCAAGTTGGTCTTCATGGCCCAGAGGCCCTTCGAAAGGCCCCCGGCGGCCGAGATTGCCCGAAGAGCTCTGCCGGCGCGACTGCTCACGACGCGAGGGAGCCTGGCTTCCCTCGTGCCAGGCCAGCCGAGCGCAGCACAGCCGCGAAGACGACACTCAGACATGGACGCACGAGGCCCTCCCTGGCATGAAAGAGACGGGTTTCGAAGGCAACGGGTCCTGCACTCCGAGGCCCACCACAAGGACCAACGCTTCATCCCGTCGTCTTTTCGATCCTGGGGCCCGTCGAGGGCCCTGGGAGCCAGAGAACGGCGAAAAACCTGCAAGCCCCGTTTCCCCCAGGACTCGTCCCCTGAGATCCGGCGTTGGGAAAAAGAGCACCGCGAAAAGTCACGACCGAAGCCCCAGATCGGGGGTTGCTGAAGGTGCCCCTGGCCCAAAGTGCCACCAGCTTTTGGCGCAATGTTGGAGCCCCTGGGACCCTTCTTGGGCCTCAGGACGGGTGCCCTGGAGGAGGAGGAGGAGGAGGAGGCAGGAGGAGGAGGAGGAGGAGGAGGAGGAGGAGGAGGAGGAGGAGGAGGTGGAGGAGGAGGAGGAGGAGGAGGAGGAGGGGGAGGACCCTTCTGCTGCATTCCTCGAGCCCGATCGATCTGTGATGCCCCCCGGGCCCGGACCCCGGCGAAAGCGCCGCCCAGTGTGAAAAGCATGCCACACGCCCGGATCGCACGGAGCGACGAGCCCGTCGTTCCCTCGGCCCTCCTCGGGAGGGCGCGGGCAAGGAGAGCCCAGAGGAGGAGGAGAGGCCAGAGGAGAAGGAGGAGGACGAGGAGGAGGAGGAGGAGCAGGGTGAGGGAGGAGGAGGAGGAGGAGGAGGAGGAGGAGGACGCGGAGGAGGAGGAGGAGGAGGAGGAGGAGGAGGAGGAGGAGGAGGATCGAGGAGGATCGAGGACCGAACCGAGGAGGACCCGCTTCCCGCAAGACCCGTCTGCTCCACGGCGCCCGGCGGCACCGGCACCCTCCTCCGGTGCTCCACGCGCCAGACCGCCCCGAAGGAGCCGCTGCCGAGGGGCCGGGACGGCCCGTCGAAGTCCTGGCGCGCCAGCGCGCGGGCCTCCTCCTCCTCCTCCTCCTCCCCTCCCCTCCTCCTCCTCCTCCTCCTCCTCCTCCTCGTCCTCCTCCTCCTCGTCCTCCTCCTCCTCCTCCTCGTCCTCCTCCTCGTCCTCCTCCTCCTCCTCCTCCTCCTCCTCCTCCTCCTCCTCCGCGTCTCCTCCTCTGTCCCCTCGCGTCCTCTGTCCCTCGCGTCCCTCGGTCGAAGTCCTGGCACGTCCTGGCCCCCAGGACGCTCCCAGAGCAAGAGACGGCAACGGTCCAGGTGCTCGTCGGCGGGGTCGTCGACGTCGGGGTCGTGGTCGCGATCGTGATCGTGACCGTGGTCGGGATCACTTTCGTCGTCATCATCGTCATCGGAATCGTCGCCGCCGTCGACTCCGTCCTCGTCGGCGGGGTCGTGGTCGTGGTCGTGGTCGTGATTGTGATCGTCGTCGTCGTCGCGATGGTGATCGATGTCGTCGTCGTCGTGATCGTGATCGTGGTCGTGATGATCGTCGCCGTCGCCGTCGCCGTCCTCGTCGTCGTCATCTTCGTCGTCGTCGTCGTCGTCTTCGTCGTCGTCATCGACCTCGTCTTCGTCGTCGTCGGCGTGCCGATGGGTATCGCCGTCGTCGTTATGAAGATCGTGATCGCGATTGCGATCCTGATCGCGATCGCGATCGTAACCATGATCGTCGTGATCGTAATGGTGGTCGTCATCGTCGCTGGCGTCGTCGTCGTGGTCATCGCCGCCGTCGTCGTCGTCGCCGCCGTCATTGTCGTCGTCGTCTTCGTCATCGTCGTCGTCCGTCGTCGCGATCGTCATCACTGTCGTCGTCGACGTCGTCGTCGTTATCGTGATCGTGATCGTTCTGGACATGGTGGCTAGGAAAGTGCGGTCGCTTTTCCCTTTGCCCCTGCCCTCCCGATTGATGACCCTCCGAATGCGGCGCGCGGGCTTGTGGTTGTTAAAGCTGCGCCAACGTGTTTTGGCGCGTTTGTAAAGCCAGAAGAGGTGCGCACCACGTTGTTCCACGGGAGTGTCGCGTAGGTCGGGGTCGTCGGCGGCTATCTCCGCGCCGAATGAGCTGGCGGTGTCGGTGTCGGTGCCTGAGTCGATTTCTGCTGCTGGGTCTGACCCCTGTGCCGGTGGTGCCGCACGAGAGGCACAGCCTCCAGATACGGCCTCGGCTGGTACAAGGGGGCCGGGGGCCGACACCAGTGCAGCAGGACCCATGCCGTCCCATGCCGTCCTTACTCTGCTCCTGCGTGGGAGTACCCGTGGGGAGCGTGTGCTGTTGGGCAGAGTGAGCCGCCGAGGCGAGGTTGCCTGGCGGTCCCTCTATCACGTGCCCACAGCGTCTCAGCTGGCCCGTCGTATGTGTGAGCTGCAGAGCTTTCGTGGGGTAGGCCATGTTGCAGTGCTGTCGGAGCATGGTGAGTTGAGTGTTCGACACGCCGACGGCGCACAGCAGGAGTAAGCTGAGCCCCTCGTAACCGATCATGAATTGGCCAGCTTGCTGCGCTCGGTTGTGGAAGATGCCGAATCTCGTTAGGAGGTTGTCGATGCGCTCCTGCGGCAGTCGGTTGAAGTTCATCAGAGCCGATACTGCCAAGGTGCGCTCCTCCTCGCCCAGCTGGCCACATCGTTCGGCAAAGGTGTGCATTAGGAAAGTCATCGGTGGCACTAGGTTGCTGCTGATGAGACCTCCCTGCGTCAAGACAGCAGGCGGCCATGCGTTCACGCACTCGCGCGCCATGCCGGTAAGGCGCGACGAGACGTAGGCCGCGTGGCAGAACTCGTTGAGGTCTGAGTTCGCCACTGAAAGTGCTCAGGCCCCCAGGTGCCGAGGTGTCGCACGTTGCGCTGCCACCACCGGCGCCCATGTAGACGATGCACCTTGCGATGGCCAACATGCCGACTCCGATGGCCTTCCATCCAGAGTGTAGCTTCCTCCACATGTCGTAGAGGTGCTTATGGCCGGGCATCCTCAAGCGGCGTTGCATGAGTCACCGAAGTTACTTGCTCCAGATGTGTTCCTCCTCGTCAGCGTATTGGACGTCTGTTTCTGTCGCGTCACTTCGGCGCTCGCGGTGCTCGGATCATCCCGCGAAACAGTCACGAGGATGCTCTTCGTACGTCGCGCGGTCACTGTGCTGAACGCCGCCAGTTGCACGGTCGTCTAGAGAAGCGCGCATCGGGATGCCGTCCTGCCCGGCTGGCGGGTCTGATGGGGTAAAGCGAAGGGTCGGGTCCCGAGGCGTGGTGCCTCGGAATGATGGTGTCCCACTCGTCATGCTCTCCGCTGCATTACCTCGGGGTGGGGGAGAACGCAGTTCCCATGCTCCCCACTGCATCCCCGCTCGGCACCAGCGACACAATCGCCGGATGTCTCTTCTCTGCTTGCTTCTCCCAAGGCTCTCGAGACGCAGTCCCAAGACGCTCGGGACCTTGTTCTGACGCCGCAGATGTGACGGGCGGGGGCACTGACAGTTTGGGGACCACGAGCTGTGTGGACACAGTTCGACCACGCCCTGGATGGGTCGCAGAGCGGTCCTTGTAGATCTTGGCGATGTTGTCCTTGATTGGGTGCTGGTTGTGCACGTTCTCGGTCGCTGGTCCTGGCGGATGGGCAGATGCCCCGACGGACCCTCGAGTGACGTTTCCTGCCGTAATGAGCGGGAAAGGGTGCACGACGGCTGAAGTGTTGAAGGCGGCGTGCACGCTCCCAGTCGCGAGTCTTGGCGTATGGGCTGGCACAGCCCCGACAGACCCCCAAGTAACGTCTCCTGCCAGGGCGAATGGGAAGAAGTGCGCGGGCACGTACATGTTGAAGGCGGTTGACCGAAGTCGAAGGCGGCGGAGGGTGGACGCCATTGCGGTCGACGCGAAGCGACACATCGCGGCCGTTGCGGGAGCAGGGGTCAACCTGCTTCGCTACCATCTAGAAATGAGGATGTAAGAAGGGAGACGATGTCTTCCGTCAAAGAAGTACAGCGTTTGATGGTCCAAAACGGAATGCCGAATGCGAGCCTAAAGCGGGCACGGTGCACTGATCAGGCCTCGAGCCAAGACAGCGCAGCGGGCCAGCAGAGGTGAGAAACAGGGCACTGGACAAGGAGCTACCGTTCGAGTGGGGAGAGGGCGAAGGGGCGAGGGGGCGACGGGAGGAGGAGGAGGATGAGGAGGAGGTGGAGATCCGTAGCCATTTGGGCTCAAGACTCTTTCAGTTCACTTACTGCACTTGTCTTCATACGGCGCTGCGACCCTCCAGGTGCGCGGCTTCACCCACCGGGCCCGGCATGGTGCGCGGTGGTGGCATCCCTGTCCGGCATGGTTCGTGCGTGGCCCACGTGCGGTCCGTCCAGGAGGCGGCAGAGCTCATGGCCAAGCTCGGCGGGCAGGGAGAGATGCAGCAGCTCAAGGAATTCCAGTCCGTGCTGGACGAGGCGCAGGGTTGCCTCGGCCTCGACAGGAAGGTCCAGACGGAGGACGTTCGGCGAGGCTTGGTGCAACGGGGACAGACTGACCTCGCGAAGGACTTCGTGCTCTGGCGGCAGGGGCGGCGCGCGGTGGCCCATCCACCAGCCGCAAGTTTGCCGCAGAAGGTGCTGCAGGCTCTTCGCAAGCCGCTCATGGAGGGCAGCGGTGGTGGCATCTCCATGGAGTCGGCATCCTCTGAGGACGTTGCCCTCGACGAGGAGAGCGAGCTGTTCAAGCGGGAGCTTAAACACCAGGCTACGGAAAGTATTGAGTCCCAGCAGATCGGTCGGAGCAAGGCCTCCAACAAGTCGACATCGACGGGTGCCCAACCCGAGTTTTTCGACATCGGCTCGGAGGAGGATGTCGCCTTGAATCCTAAAGTGCTGGAAGACATCAAGGACATTCTTCTTACGCTGCGAGCAGACATTCTCAGCCTCCTCGCCCCGAAGGTCAACCAGAGCACGATGACCATTGTTGGCGAGGTCATGGCAGGCGGGGCCTCAGAATCTGCTGGCGCAGCCAAAGACGAGCAGGCATCTGACCAGTACGACGGCCTCTCCACTGAGGAGGCCTCGGAGGTTGGAAGCTTCAACTACAACGCCGCTTCGGCCTTGGACTTGAAACCGCAGCCGCCTCCAGGAGCTGCCCCGCAGACGGGGGTGGAGCTGGAGGGTGCTCAGGAGGAGTCCGCTGGTGCAGCCGACGGCGAACAGCTCAACCTCAGGACCGCCATCCCGACCACCGAGGATCCGTTCTCGCTCGCGGTCAAAGCCCGCCTCCAGGCCTTGCGGGTGAGTGATGCGTCCAAGAATGAGCTAGCGCACCTTTTCGCCACGAGCCTCACCAGGAGAGCCTGCGGCAAGCCGCCCTGCCCTGCCGTCCAGCATGGCGTCCCCAAGGAGGACGCCAAGTGAGGTCTGCAAGGCAGGGCCGTACAGGCCTCGGACTCCCTAAACAGCGAAGAGGTAATAGTGTTAGCTGCTGAGGGTCTCCGCACCTCCTCTCCCCCTCCCCCAAGCTGAATGTTGAGCAGGCTTCACCGTCATAGCTTGCAGAATTCTCGGGAGGGGGGGGGGTGGACGAGGGGGGCGGCTACGAGCTACGACGACGGACGGCGACGACGTGCCGTGGAGGCACGCGTCTCGCCCACCGCCCGTGTGGCCTGGCTGCCTGGTTGCGCGGGCAGCAGGCACCGCCAGGGCAGAGGAGGCTCGCCCACGCCCGGGATTTCGGACGCACCTATCTTCCTGTCCCCCCTCTTTCCTCCCTCCTCTCGGCCTTCCTTCTTCTCCTGGGTGCGTCCCTAGTCCCCTCCATATTTTTTGTTCATTCCTGTGCCGCGCATGGGCTTTGAACCCATTCGTTGAACCGTTGAACCGAGGAGGAGGTGGAGGAGGAGACCAATGCGGCGCGCGGGGCAGGGAGGGCTGCGGCGGGCGAAGGAGGGGCGGCAGCAGCAGCGGCGGCGGCAGGGGGGAACCAGAGGCCAGTGGGGCCCGCGCGCCTCGAGCGCGTGGCTGGTCGGCGCCAGGTGGGCCACCGCCTCTGGGTCCACCAGGGTCCTGGCCTGAGGATGGGGAGGGAGTGGGATGGGCATGAGGAGGGAGCGGGATGAGGATGGGGAAAACGGGGTGAGGACGAGGCAGGAGCGAGGTGAGAGGATGGAAGAGTGGGGTGAGGATGAAGAGGGAGTGGGGTGAGGACGAAGGGGGGGTGGGGGGAGGACGAGGTGGGAGTGGGGTGAGGAGCACGAGACGCTGTCGAAGCATGCCCTGTCGGCCCTGTCGGGCCGCGCCGCCATCGCCCCGAGGCCCATCGAGGCCTGCGTGCGTGCGGTCGCCCTGCGAGCCCCCGCTGGCTGTGTGGGACTGCGGGCAGGTCCGCCGCGGCTCCTCAATCGGTGCTGCAAGAGCTCACGGGCCCAGGAAGTCCGAAGTCGTGCTCGTGCCTGCGCGCGGCCCCTTGCAAAGGGGGACCGCGTCCTGTGTCCGCGAGCGCTCGTCGAGCGTCTCCCGGGGCCCCGCAAATAGGCCTCCGGGCACCAACAGCGGTGGGAGCACTAGGAGAAGGAGCAGGAGCAGGAGGAGGAGGAGGAGAGGCAGGACTACAAGGAGGATACCAAGAGTGATTAGAAGGCGGACGACGGGGAGAAGAAGAGGAGCAGCAGCAGACGGAAAGCGAGGGGAGGCATGAAGAGGATGGTGATGATGATGCTGATGAGGAGGGGAAGGATGAGAAGAGGATGAGGATGATGATGAGGATGAGGATGAGGATGAGGATGAGGACGACGACGACGACGACGACGACGACGACGACGACGACGACGACGACGACGACGATGATGATGATGATGATGATGATGATGATGATGATGATGATGATGATGGTGATCGTGATGGTGATGACGATGATGACGACGAGAAGGTGATGACGATGATGACGACGAGAAGGAGGAGGAGGAGGAGGAGGAGGAGAAGGAGCGGCAGAACTAAAAGGAGGATACCAGGAGGGACTAGAAGGCGGACGACGGAGACAAGAAGAGAAGCAGCAGCAGATGGAAAGCGAGGGGAGGTATGAAGAAGAGGATAATGGCGATGATGATGATGATGCTGATGAGGATGAGGAGAAGGAGGAGGAGGATGCTGCTACTGATGTTGATGTTGATGATGATGATGATGAATATGACGATGCTGATGCTGATGATGATAATGTTGATGATGCTGAGTATGATGATGATTATGCTTATGATGATGATGATGATGATGATGATGATGATGATGATGATGATGATGATGATGATGTTGGTGATGGTGATGATGAGGCTGCTGCTGATGATGCTGATGGTGATGCTGATGATGTTGGTGATGCTGATGATGCTGCTGATGATGACGATGATAATGATGGTGGTGATGATGGTGATGCTGATGATGAGGAGGAGGAGGAGGAGGAGGTTCCCCGCGGCTCCTGGGATGGGCAAGGGCATCGCGTCCACCTGCACTTCTCGAGAAAGAGGACGAGGAGAAGCGAAACGAGTGGGGAGGAGGATACGGAGCAAGCGCGAGGAGAGAAGAGCACGCCGGGCGGCGGCGGGCCTGTGAGACCGCGGTGGCGGTGCTGCCCGCGAGGCTGGCCTGCGGGCCGCCACTGCGCCGCCGCCTCCCTCCTGCCCCCTCCTCTTCGTCGGCGCGTTCCTCCGCCCTCCTGCGCCCCCCCCCCCCCTGCTTCTCATCCTCCCCCTTCTCGTCCTCGCCCTTCCCCGCACTCCTTCTTCTTCTTCTCCTCCTCCTCCTCCTCCTCGTCCTCGTCCTCGTCCTTGTCCTCCTCCTTCTCGTCTTCTTCCTCCCTCTCATCCTCCTCCCCCTTCTCGCCCTTCCCCTTCTCGTCCTCCCCCTTCTCGCACTGCTCCTCCCGCTCCTGCCCCTGCAGGTGTTCACGCTCCTGTCCATGGCTCGTGCACATGATGATCATCCTGCTCCTCCACCCTCCCTCCTCCCGCTGCAGCTCCTCCTGCTCCTCCTCTTCGTACTCCTTCCCCCCTTCCGCATACCCCTCGCCCTTCCACTCTCCAGAGTTCTCCGCGCGTGCAAGCTCCATCTCCAGCACATCCACCTCCTTCTTGGGAGGAGGGGGGGAGGAAGAGGAGGAGGAGGAGATGGAGGAGGCTCATGCCCACCTCCCCTCGCTCAGGCTTCCAATTCTCTCCCGTACGATCGCTCCACGACGCCCGCCTGCTCCCTCACCGCGACACCACCCCTCCGCACCATCATACAGCCACCGCCCCCCATATCCCTCAACCTGACCCTGCCCCCGCCCCTCGTTCTCCAACGCCTCCGCTCTCGCTTGCCCTCGCCTCCCCCCCCCACCATCCCTGCGCCCGTCCCCCCCTTCGTCCCTCCCCTCTCCTTCCTCCACCCTCATACCCCTCACTCCTATTCCACCTCCCTCCTGATACCAGCGAATTCCTCCTCCCACTACTCCTGCTCCTCCTCTTCCTCCTCCTTCTCCTTCTCCTCCTCCTCCAGATCCTCCTCACCATCATCATCATCCTCCTCCTCCTCCTCCTCCTCATCATCATCATCATCATCATCATCACCATCACCATCACCATCACCATCACCATCACCATCACCATCACCATCATCATCATCATCATCATCATCATCATCATCATCATCATCATCATCATCATCATCATCATCATCATCATTTTCCTCCTCCTCCTCCACATCCGCATCCTCCTCCTCCTCCTCCTCATCATCGTCATCATCATCATCATCATTTTCTTCCTCCTCCTCCTCTTCCTCCTGATCACCCCCCCTTCCCTCCCTCCCGAGACCGCCCCTCCCGAGACCGCCACTCGATGCGACAATCCCCCTCCTCGCCCCCCGCGCCGGGGGCCACCGTGGCCCAGGATGCGCAGCCGGTGCTGCGCGGCGACACCTCGCGGGCGCGCCGCTGGCGCACACCGCCGCAACCGCCGTGGTCGTCGTGGTCGTCGTCGTCGTCGTCGTCGTCGTCGAGATCGTGGTCGTCGTGGTCGTGGTCGTCGTCGTCAGCGTCGTCGTCGTCATCGACAACTTTGTCGCCGTCGTCGTGGTCGTGGTCGGGGTCATCGTCGTCGCCGTCGTCGTGGTCGTCATCGTCGTATTCGTCGTCGTTGTCGACGTCGTCATCGTCGACGTCGTCGTCGTCGTGGTCATGGTGGTCGTGGTCGTCGTCATCGTCGTGGTCGTCGTGCTCGTCATCGTCGTCGTCGTCATCGTCGTGGTCGTCGTGGTGGTCGTGGTCGTCGTCGTCGTCGTGGTGGTCGTGGTGGTCGTGATGGTCGTGGTGGTCGTGGTGGTCGTCGTGGTCGTGGACGTGGACGTGGTCGTGGTCGCGGTCGTCGTCGTCGTCGTCGTCGTGTGGTGGTGGTCGTAGTTGTCGTGGTCGTCGTCGTCGTGATCGTCGTGGGCGTCGTCGTCGTCGTGATGGTTGTCGAGATCGTCGTGGTCGTGGTCGCGGTCGTGGTCGAGGTTGTCGTGGTCGTCGTGCTGGTCGTCGTCGACGTCATCGTCGTGGTCGTCGTCAGGATCGTCGTGGTCGTGGCCGTGGTCGTGGTCGTCGTCGACGACGACGACGTCGTCGTCGTCATTGTCGTCGTCGTCGTTGTCGTCGTGGTCGTCGTGTGGTGGTGGTCATGGTCGTCGTCGTCGTCGTCGCAGTCTTCATCGTCGTGGTCATCGTGGAGGTCGTCGCTGTCGTCGTCGTCGTGGTCGTCGTCGTCGTGGTGGTCCTGGTCGTCGTAGTGGTCGTCGTCGTCGTCGTCGCCGTTGTCGTTGTTGTTGTGGTCGCCGTCGTCGTCGTCGTGGTGGTCGTGGTCGCTGTCACCGTCGTCGTGGTCGCCGTGGTCGTCGTAGTCGTCGTCGTCGTGGTTGTCGTCGTCGTAATGGTGGTCGAGGTCGTCGTGGTCGTGGTCGCGGTCGTGGTCGTGGTCGTCGTCATCGTCATCGACAACTTTGTCGCCGTCGTAATCGTCGTCGTGGTTGTAGTCGGGGTCGTCGTCATGGTGTTCGTCATCGTCGTATTCGTCGTCGTTGTCGACGTCGTCGTCGACGACGTCGTCGTCGTGGTCGTGGTGGTCGTGATCGTCATCATCGTCGTGGTCGTCGTGGTCGTCACCGTCGTCGTCGTCGCCGTGGTCGTCGTGGTCGTCGTGGTCGTCGTCGTTGTCGTGGTGGTCGTGGTGGTCGTGGTCGTGGTCGTGGTCGCGGTCGTGGTCGTGGTCGTCGTCGTCGTGTGGTGGTGGTCGTGGTTGTCGTGGTCGTGGTCGTCGTCGTCGTAGTCGTCGTGGGCGTCGTCGTCGTCGTGATGGTGGTCGAGGTCGTCGTGGTCGTCGTCGCCGTCGTGGTCAACGTGGTGGTCGTGGACGGAGTCGTCGCGGTCGTCGTGGTGGTCGTCGTCGACGACATCGTCGTGGTCGTCGTCAGGATGGTCGTGGTCGTGGCCGTGGTCGTGATCGTCGTCGACGACGACGGCACCGTCGTCGTCGTCGTCGTCGCGGTCTTCATCGTCGTGGTCATCGTGGAGGTCGTCGTCGTCGTGGTGGTCGTCGATGGTCGTCGTCGTGGTGGTCGTGGTCGTCGCAGTCGTCGTCGTCGCCGTGGTGGTCGTTGGTGTTGTGGTCGCCGTCGTCGTCGTGGTGGTCGTGGTCGCTGTCGCCGTCGTCGTGGTCGCCGTAGTCGTCGACGTCGTCGTCGTGGTTGTCGTCGTCGTATTGGTGGTCGAGGTCGTCGTGGTCGTGGTCGTGGTCGTGGTCGTGGTCGTGGTCGTCGTCGTCGTCGTCGTGGCCGTCATCGTCGTATTCGTCGTCGTTGTTGACGTCGTCGTCGTCGACGTCGTCGTCGTCGTGGTAGGCGTGGTCGTCGTCATCGTCGTGGTGGTCGTGGTCGTCGTCGTCGTCGTTATCGTCGTGGTCGTCGTTGTCGTCGACGTCGTTGTCGTCGTGGTGGTCGTGGGCGTGGTCGTGGTCGCGGTCGCGGTCGTGATGGTGGTCGTCGTCGTCGTGTGGTGGTGGTCGTGGTTGCCGTGGTCGTCGTCGTCGTCGTAGTGTAGTGGGCGTCATCGTCGTCGTCGTGTGGTGGTGGTCGTGGTTGTCGTGGTCGTCGTCGTCGTAGTCGTCGTGGGCGTCGTCGTCGTCGTGGTCGTCGTGATGGTGGTCGAGGTCGTCGTGGTCGTAGTCGTTGTCGTGGTTGTCGTGGTCGGAGTCGTCGTGGTCGTCATGGTGGTCGTCGTCAACGTCATCGTCGTGGTCGTCGTCAGGCTCGTCATGGTCGTGGCCGTGGTCGTGGTCGCCGTCGACCACGGCGACGTCGTCGTCGTCATCGTCCTGGTCGTCGTTGTCGTCGTGGTCGTCGTGTGGTGGTGGTCATGGTCGTAGTCATCGCGGTCTTCATCGTTGTGGTCATCGTGGAGGTCGTCATTGTCGTCGTCGTTGTGGTAGTCGTCGTCGTCGTCTTGGTGGTCGTGGTCGTCGTAGTCGTCGTCGTCGCCGTGGTGGTCGTTGTTGTCGCCGTCGTCGTCGTCGTCGTCGTCGTCGTCGTGATTGTGATCGCTGTCGCCGTCGTCGTGGTGGTCGTAGTCGTCGTCGTCGTGGTTGTCGTCGTCGTAATGGTGGTCGAGGCCGTCGTGGTCGTGGTCGTGGTCGTGGTCGTGGTCGTGGTCGTGGTCGTCGTCGTCGTGGTCGTCGTCGTCGTCGTCGTCGTGGTCGTGGTCGTCGTCATCGGCGTGGTCGTGGTCGTGGTCGTCGTTGCCGTCGTCGTCGTCATCGTCGTCGTCGTCGTCGTCGTCATCGTCGTCGTCGTGGTCGTGGTCATGTTCGTCTTCGTCGTCTTCGTCGTCGTCGCGGTCGTCCTCGTCGTGGTCGTCGTTGTCGTCGTGGTGGTCGTGGTCGTCTTCGTCGTGGTCGTCGTCGTCGTCGTTGTGGTGGTCGTGGTCGTCGTCGTGGTGGTCGTCGTCGTCGTGGTCGTGGTCGTCGTGGCCGTCGTCGTGGTGGTCGTGGTCGTCGTCGTCGTGGTCGTCGTCGTCGTTGTGGTGGTCGTCGTCGTCGTCGTGGTGGTCGTCGTCGTGGTAGTGGTCGTGGTCGTTGTGGCCGTCGTCGTCGTGGTGGTCGTGGTCGTCGTCGTCGCGGTCGTCGTCGTCGTTGTGGTCGTCGTGGTCGTGGTTGTGGTCGTGGTCGTGGTCGTGGTCGTCGTCGCCATGAAAGTGGTCGAGGCCGTCGCGGATGTGGTCGTGGTCGTGGTCGAGGTCGTGGTTGTGGTCGTGGTCGTCGTCGCCATGATGGTGGTCGAGGCCGTCGCGGTCGTGGTGGTGGTCATGATCGTGGCCGTGGTCGTGGTCAAGGTCGTGGTCGTGGTCGTGGGCGTGGTCGTTGCCGACGTCGTTGTCGTCGTCGTCGTGTGGTGGTCGTGGTCGTGGTCGTTGTCGTGGTCGTGGTCGTGGTCATGGTCGTGTCGTGGTCGTGGTCGCCGTCGACGACGTCGTCGTCGTCGACGTGGTCGTCGTGTAGTGGTAGTCATGATCGTCGTCTTGGTGGTCGTGGTCGTCGTCGTCGCCGTCGTGGTGGTCGTGGTGGTCGTGGTCGTCGTCGTCGTCGTCGTGGTGGTCGTGGTCGCGGTCGTCGTCGTCGTCGTCGTGGTCGTCGTGATGGTGGTCGAGGTCGTCGTGGTCGCGGTCGTCGTCGTGGTCGTGGTCGTGGACGTGGACGTGGTCGTGGTCGTGGTCGTGGTCGTCGTCCTCGTCGTCGTCGTCGTCGTCGTGGTCGTGGTCGTCGTCAACGTCGTTGTCGCGGTCGTCATCGTCGTGGTGGTCGTGGTGGTCGTCGTCGTGGTGGTCGTGGTCGTCGTGGTCGTCATCGTCGTCATCCTCGTCGTCGTCGTCGTTGTCTTCCTGGTCGTCGTGGTCGTCGTGATCGTGGTCGTGGTCGTGGTCGTGGTCGTGGTCGTCGACGTCGTCGTCGTCGTCATCGTCGGGGTCGCGCGCGGGGGGGGGTGGGGGGGAGGGGGGGGAAAGAAAGAGGAGGGGGCTGGGGAGGGGGGCGACAAGAGGGCGGAGGAGGAGGAGTGAAGAAGGAGGAGGAAGGGGAAAGGCAGGAGGAGGGGGGAAGGCAGGAGGAAGAGGAGGGGGAAAATAAGGAGGAGGAGCGTAAGTCAACCTGCGGACGCATGTCTTCATGCCTAGCCCGAAGCGCCAGCAGCGCCAACTATGCAGGCGGGCAGTCTCTGAGCGGCGCGAGCGGCGAGAACCGCCTGCTGCTGGTGGTCGTAATCGAGTTCGGCAACCTTTACGTCTTTGGTGATGTGGTAGAGGCGGTGCATCACCGCAACCCTCGCGAGGCAATGGCTCCTGGAATTTTCGCCTGACTGCTGGTGGTCCGCGCCAACGCCCAGTCTCACCAGAACCTCTTCGTGCAGGAATCCCGAGGCAACGCCTGAAGATGAAGGAGCCCCCGGCACTGGAGATCGTGCTCGATGGAGTCGAAGCCTGCCTCGCACCCAAAGGGACAAGGTCGCGGGATCGGCACAACGTGCATTCTGACATAAGTCGCCCATCCTTCTCTGTATATCTTCAGGGCTGGCCAGACACGTGAAGGTGGGCGCGTTCAGAGGATATCTCGAGCCACGCGCCAGGAGGAGGACAAGGAGGAGGAGGCGGGCAGGAGGAACGTCGGCATGAGGAGGGGGGAGAAAGGAGGGGGATGAGGAGGAGAGAGAGGAGCCGAGGACGAGGAGGAGGCGAGGAGGAGGAGGAGGGAGCACGAGAGGGGCGCCCCAACCGAAGGACCCGCCGGCGGCGGCGGCGCGCCGTGGAGCGCTCGCCGTGGCTGCGGGCGCAGCCCTCGCGGTCGGCCCGCGTCCTCGTGCGCGCGGGCGCCGGGCCGCGCCGCTCCGCCGCGGCCGCTGCGCGCCCGCCTCCCCGCGCAGCGTCCCCCCGCCGCCCCTGTCGGCAGGGGGAGGAGGAGGAGGAGGGAGGAGGAGGGAGGAGGAGGGAGGAGGAGGAGGAGGAGGAGGAGGAGGAGGAGGAGGAGGAGGAGGAGGAGGAGGAGGAGGAGACCTTCGCACGCGCTCCGTGGCCCCATAGGGGGCCCCACCGAAGGCCCCAGCGGCAGGGCACGCAGAGGCGTCCCCCCCGCCCACGTCGGCGCGCCCCTCTCCGCGGGGTGGTCCCACGGGGTACCGCCCATTTCGGGGCTCGCATGGCCTCCCCCCGCCCATTTCGGCGCAGCCCTCACACGCGCTCCGTGCCCCCAGAAGTGAGCCCCACCGAAGGCCCCAGTGGCAGGTTTCGCAGAGTGTCCACCCGTTCATTTCGGCACACCTCTCAGGCGTTTCGTGGCCCCGCAGGGAGATCCCCCTTTTGCCCCGCCTGCCTTGCGATACCCAGGCCTGCATGTGGTCGGGCCTGTCGCCAGGATAGTTGTCATCCACATGCTATAGTTGGGTGCTGTACTCTGTTGTCCGAGCGCGCGCCTGGCCGTTCGACGAGGCCACTCTACACTCTACGCGCTTGGCGTTTTTGGTAAGACTCGCCGCGGCATTGTTTTCTGGTCGCCGTCGCGACCCATGATCCAGGCTCCGCCTGGCAAGAGTTTGCCTTTTTTGACGATTTGGGACAGCATACCCGCAGCTTGCGGTCTCAACACATGCGCCATTTCTGGAAGACACGGTCGGTCCGGGCATTTGTCTGCCTGCCCGTCCTGGTCCTCCCTCCTCCTCCACCTCCTCCTCCTCCTGCACCGCAGACTCGGCACCCGACTGCGCCTGATCGGAGAAACAACTCCCCTCCCTCCCTTCCTGCTGCTCATCCTTTTTTGATGTGGTTTCTTCCTGCTGCTCATCCTGCTGCTGCTTGTGCCCATCCTTCCCTACTGCCCTCTGCGCCACCAGCCCCCCCCCCCCGACGGTGTGGGCCAGCGCCGCCAAGGCGAGGCGGGAGGGGAAGATGGCCACGGGGCGACCAGGAACCACAAGCCGCTCCTCATCCTCGGCTTCCCTCTCCTGCTTCCCGCCACGCCATCGCGCGCGCTTCGCGCGTGCTCAAGCTACAGCTAGGCTGGACGGTCGAACTCTCGGGAACCTCTGCTTTCATGGTGCTTCTTCTCCGGGGCTTCCAGGAACCACGAAGACGCCCAAGTAGCTTCCAACACTTCCTACGGTCCACCCACGGAGGCCTAGGACAGGCCTAAGGGGCACTTCGGGGGCCCTTAACTTCGCCGCGGCTGGACGTAGCCAGAGTAGCCAGAGGGAGAGGGAGGGAAATGGGAGGTGAAGGGGTTCCCTGGGGGAGAAGGAAGAGGAGGACGAGGAGGAGGAGGAGGATGATGAGGAGGAGGAGGAGAAGGAGGAGGAGGAGGAGGAGGAGAAGGACGAGGAGGAGGAGAAGGACGAGGAGGAGAAGGCCGCAGAGGAGGAGTACATGGGGGAGAAGGAGGAGGAAGAGGAGGAAGGGGAGGAAATTTGTTATCTCCTTTTTTTGCAAGCGTAGTCAAGCTGCCAGGCGAACTTGAACAAAAATAAGACAATGTTGGAATCCTCTTTTGTCCCAATCATCCTGTGGTGTTGGGTCCTCGTTTTGAAGAGACAGCGCCCCGCGTCCCACCTCTCCTCCTCTCCTTCTCCCTCCTCGTACCACCTCCTCCTACCATCGTCCCATCGTCCCATCATCACCTCAACATCCCATCATCATCATCATCATCATCATCATCATCATCATCATCATCATCATCATCAGCAGCAGCAGCAGCAGCAGCAGCAGCAGCAGCATCAGCATCAGCATCAACATCATCATCAGCATCATCATCAGCATCATCATCAGCATCATCATCATCACCAGGATCAGCATCGGCATCATCATCATCATCATCATCATCATCATCATCATCATCATCATCATCATCATCATCATCATCATCATCATCATCATCATCATCATCGTCATCGTCATCGTCATCAGCATCAGCATCAGCATCAGCGTCATCGTCGTCGTCATCGTCACCATCGTCATCATCACCAACAACTTCATCATCATCGCCGTTCTCGTCAGAATCATCGCCGCTCATGTCGGCACACCCCTCACACGTTTCGTGGCCCCAAGGGGAGCTTCACAGAAGGCCCCACTGTCTGCGCTCGCACGCGGGCACCGCCACCCATTTCGGCACACCCCCGACACGTTTCGTGGGCCCATATGGGAGCTCGACCGAGGGCCCCAGTGGCTGCGCTCGCATGCGGGCGCCGCACCCATTTCGGCACACAACCCTCACACGCTTCGTGGCCCCATAGGGAGCTCCACCGAGGGCCCCAGTGGCTGCGCTCGCATGCGGGCACCGCACCCATATCGGCACACCACTCACGCGTTCCGTGGTCACATAGGGAGCTCCACCGGCGGCCCCCTTGGCTGCGCTCGCATGCGAGCACCGCACCCATTTCGGCACACCCCTCACACGTTGCGGTCGTGGCCCCATGGGGAGCTCCACCGAAGGCACCACTGGCTGCGCTCGCATGCGGCCACCGCCACCCATTTCGTCACACCCCTCACACGCTTCGTGGCTCCATAGGGGGTTGCACCGAAGGCCCCAACGGTGCAACCCGAATGCGCTCCCGCCACACATGTCGGTACACCCCTCACACGTTTCGAGGCCCCACAGGGAGCTCCATAGGGAGCTCCACCGAAGGCCTCACTCACTGGCTGCGCTCGTATGCGGGCACCGCACCCATGTTGGCACACGCCTCACACGCTGCGTGGCCCCCAAAGGACCTCCACCGAAGGTCCCAAAGGCTGCGCTCGCATGCGGGCACCACACCCATTTCGGCACACACGCCCACACGTTTCGTGGTCCCATAGGGAGCTCCACCGCGGGGCACAATGTCTGCGCTCGCATGCGGGCGCCGCACACATCTCGGCGCACCCCTCGCACGCTTCGTGCACCGCACCCATTTCGGCACACCCCTGATTCCGTGGCCCTTTCAGGAGCTCTACCGAAGGCCTCACTGGCTGCGCTCGCATGCGGGCACCGCACCCCTCTCGGCACACCCCTCGCACGCTGCGTGGCCCCAGTGTGACATCCACCGAGGGTCCCAGTGGCTGCGCTCGCATGCGGGCACCGCACCCCTTTCGGCACACACCCCTCACACGCTGCGTGGCCCCGCAGGGAGCTCCACCCAGGGCCTCACAATGGCTGCGCTCGCATGCGGGCACCGCACCCACTTCGGCGCACCTCTCACACGCTTCGTGGCCCCATAGGGAGCTCCACCGGCGGCCCCACTGGCAGCGCCCGCACGCGGGCACCGCACCCATGTCAGCACACCCCTCACACGTGTCGTGGCCACGCGTTTCGCGGCCCAGATTGGGGCTGCACCGAAGGCCCCAGCGGCGCATGCGCTCCCGCCACCCATGTCCCGCTTCGTGGCCCCATAGCGAGCTGCACCACAAGCCCCAGCGGTGCAGCCCGCACGAGCCCCCGCCACCAATTTCGGCACACCCCTCGCACGTTCCGCGGCCCCTCAAGGATCTCCTCTGAAGGCCCCAGTGGCGAAGCCCGCATGCGCCCACCGCACCTATTTCGGCACACCCCTCACATGTTTCATTGCCCCATAGGGGCTCCACCGAAAGTCCATGTGCCAACGTTCGCATGCGCCCACCGCGCCCAGTTTGGCGCACCCATCACACGTTTCGCGGCACCAGGAGGAGCTCCACCGAAGACCCACCAGTGCTCGCATGCGCCCACCGCATCTATTTTGGCATACCACTCACACGTTTCGTGGCCCCATCGGGAACTCCATCGAAGGCCCAAATGCCAGCGCCCGCATGCGCTCGCCTCATTTACGGGCGCAGCCCGTAATTTGATTTTCGCGAGGTAGACAGACTGAACTCAACCACCAGGCCGTTAGATGGCAGTTTTATTTCCGCGGGTGAGGATATTTCGGTGGCAGTTTTAAGCCAGCGGGTGAGGGTATTTCTGTGGCAGTTTTAAGCCAGCCGGTGAGGATATTTCGGTGGCAGTTTTAAGCCAGCGGGTGAGGATATTTCGGTGGCAGTTTTCAGCCAGCGGGTGAGGATATTTCGGTGGCAGTTTTGAGCCAGCAGTTGAGGAAATTTCGGTGCTTCAGCGGGTGAGGATATTTCGGTGGCAGTTGATTCCCGCGGGTGAGGATATTCTGATAGCAGTTTAAGCCAGCCGGTGAGGATATTTCGGTGGCAGTTTTCAGCCAGCGGGTGAGGATATTTCGGTGGCAGATTTATTTCCGCGGGTGAGGGTATTTTGGCGGCAGTTTTAAGCCGGCAGATGAGCATATTTGGGTCGCAGTTTTATTCCCGCGGATGAGGATATTTCGGTGGCAGTTCTAAACCACCGGGTGAGGATATTTCGGCGGCAGTTTTCAGCCAGCGGGTGAGGATATTTCGGTGGCAGTTTCAAGCCAGCGGGTCAGCGGGTGACGATATTTCGGTGGCAGTTTTCAGCCAGCGGGTGAGGATATTTCGGTGGCAGTTTTAAGCCAGCGGGTGAGGATAGTTCGGTGGCAATTTCATTTCCGCGGGTGAGGATATTCCGGTGGCAGTTTTAAGCCCGCGGGTGAGGATATTTCGGTGACAATTTTAAACCAGCGGGTGAGGATATTTCGGTGGCAGTTTTATTTCCGCGGGTGAGGATATTCTGGTGGCAGTTTTAAGCCAGCGGGTGAGGATGTTTCGGTGGCAGTTTTAAGCCAGCTGGTGAGGATATTTCGGTGGCAAATTTATTTCCGCGGGTGAGGGTATTTTGGCGGCAGTTTTAAGCCGGCAGATGAGCATAGTTGGGTCGCAGTTTTATTCCCGCGGATGAGGATATTTCGGTGGCAGTTTTAAGCCAGCGGGTGAGGATATTCCAGTGGCAGTTTTCAGCCAGCGGGTGAGGATATTTCGAAGGCAGATTTAAGCCAGCGGGTGAGGATATTGCGGTGGCAGTTTCAAGCCAGCGGGTGACCATCACCCGCTCTATAACACCTCGATAACACCCGATAACACCTCGATAACATGTTTTCGAAGTGTTATCGAGGTGTTATCGAGGTGTTATCGAGTGTGATCGAGCTCGATAACGCTCGAGAGCACCTCGATAACACTCGATGACACCTCGATAGCATGAGGTGTTATCGATGTATTATCGAGTGTTATCGAGCGGTGGCAGTGTCAAGCCAGCAGGTGAGGATATTTCGGTGGCAGTTTTATTTCAGCGGGTGAGGATATTTCGGTGGCAGTTTCAAGCCAGCGGGTGAGGATATTTCGGTGGCAGTTTAAGCCAGCGGGTGAGGATATTTCGGTGGCGGCTTTAAGAAAGCGGATGAGGATATTTCGGTGGCAGTTTTATTTCAGCGGGTGAGGATATTTCGGTGGCAGTTTCAAGCCAGCGGGTGAGGATATTTAGGTGGCAGTTTAAGCCAGCGGGTGAGGATATTTCGGTGGCGGCTTTAAGAAAGCGGGTGAGGATATTTCGGTGGCAGTTTCATTTCCGCGGGTGAAGATATTTCGGTGGCAGTTTTAAGCCAGCAGGTGAGGAAATTTCGGTGGCAGTTTTAAGCCAGCGGGTGAGGATATTTCGGTGGCAGTTTTCAGCCAGCGGGTGAGGATATTTCGGTGGCAGTTTTAAGCCAGCGGGTGAGGATATTTCGGTGGCAGTTTTATTTCCGCGGGTGAGGATATGTCGGTGGCAGTTTTAAGCCAGCGGGTGAGGATGTTTCTGTGGCTGCATTGATCCAGCGGGCGAGGATATTTCGGTGGCAGTTTTAAGCCTGCGGGTGACGATATGTCGGTGGTAGTTTTAAGCCAGCGTGTGAGGATATTTCGATGGCAGTTTTAAGCCCGCGGAGGAGGAGGAGGAGGAGGAGGAGGGAGGAACAGAGAATATCTGTGCTCGGCGCGGGCATCCAGCCGCCACGCGATGCGTCATTCGCTTGGTTGGCCCAGCCGACGGCTACGCATCCAGCGCGGTGCTGCGCCTGTATATATGCTCGCCCCTTGGCGTGGGGCTGGCGGGGGGCCAAGGGGCGAGCTGTCCGGTGATCCAGTTTGGCAACGTCCTGCCACGCTTCGTGGCCCCATAAGGAGCTCCACCGAATGCGGTGCATACAACGACGGTGCCCACAACTGCATGTGGTTGGGTCCTTCGCCAGGCTAATTTTCAAGTGCACTCGGGGCCTCTCTTGGGGCTCTTTTGGGTCTCTTTGGGGCTTCTTGGGGACCTCTTGAAGCCTCCTGGGGTCTCCTGGGGCGAAGATCTCGAGTTCTCGGTTCACGTTCCCGATCCTGGGCCGTGGTTGGGGCCCTCTCGGGCCGTCTTGGACGTCTCTTCGGCCGTTTTGGTGCCGTCTTGGGGCGCTTTTGAAGCCTAATGGATCGTCTTAGGGCGATCCTCGGGGCCTCTTGGGGCGTCTCCTTGCAACGTCAGGAAGCGGAACAGGCGGAACCGCCAGCATTGCTCAAACACCAAAGGAACATCAATGCTTGTTGGCCTCTTCGAGCTCTCTTGGGGGACGTCTTGGAGGCCTCTTGGGTATCTTGGGTGCCTCTTGGGCCGTCTGGAGGCCGTCTTCGGCGTCTTGGCCCGTCTAGTGGCCTTCGGCCCATCCCGCCACCGTGCCTGGATTGTGGGTTAGAGGCCTCTTGGAAGTTCGTTTGGATATCGTGGGAGGCCTCTCGGGGGCCTCCAAGAAAGCTTTGGAGGCCTCTTGTGAGCCGTTTGGAGGCCTATTGGGGTCTCTTTTTGGGCCTCCTGGAGCTTCTAAGGGGCCTCTAGGGGGCCTCTAGGGGGCCTCTTGGGCTCTCTTGGGGGCCTCTTGGGGCCTGCAGGGGGCCTCTTGGGGCGGAAGGCTCGAATTGTTGGTTTGCGTTCCCTCTCTTGGGCCCCTCTTGGGGCCGTCTTGGGGCCCTCTTGGGCGATCTTGGGCGCCTCTTGGACCGTTTTGGGGCCCTCTTGGACCGTCTTGGGGCCCTTCTTGGTGCCCAGTTGGGGGCCTCTGGGGCCATCTTGGAGCGTCGGAAGCGCATAACGCAAGAACGCGAAAAACGAAGAAAAACAACAGGAACATGACTGATCTTCGCCTCTTTGGCCCTCCTGGGGGTCCCCTTGGAGCGCTCTTGGGGCTTCTTTGGGGCCTCTTGGGGCCATTTTGGGCGTCTTGGAGCGCTCTTGGGCTGCCTTGGAGGCCTCTTGGGCCCTGTTGGGCGCTTTCTGGAGCCCTCTTGTCCCGTCTTGGGGCCCCCTTGGCCTCTCTGGGCCGCTCCTAGGAAGCGAGCCCGGAGGGTAATTAGCGAGCCCGACTGGGCGCCCCCAGGGGGTCTATTCGTTAACATTGTACATGTGACAAACCAGCGCAGTGGGAGGGGAAGGGATGGGCGGGAGATGCAGGATGTCAGACTCGGCGCGGGCGCACCTAGCTTGTCCCTCTCCTCTCGTCCTCCCCCCCCTCGCAGTCGCAGTCGCAACCGCAGCGGTGGCCCAAGGCCGCGCAGCAGCAGGCTGGGAGAGACGACCCGGCTCAAGAAGCTGGACGGAACGAAGGCTCACTCCCGCTCGACATGGCTCACCCCTGACTCCGGATCCGCCCTACTTTGGGGAAGTTCGTAGGTAGGGCTTGGAAGTTCTGCCCTACTTTTCAAGCCCCGCTGATGCCAAGTTCCGCCCTACTTTTCTGCTGCTGTTTCCGCCATACTTCTGTGGATTGCCGCCCTACTTTATGCTGGGTGCAGAAATTTCCGCCCTACTTGTTCGGCCTCTTATAGGTGGATTTCCGACGCAGTTTTAAGTTGGGAAAAAAGCCAAAGTAGGGCGGATCTGGAGTCAGGGACGCCCACGCCCACGCCCGCTCAAACGCCCACGCCCGCGCCCACGGGAGCGTGCTCAGATGCCCACGCCCGCCGCCCGCCACCTGCCCGGCAGGAAGACCGCGGGCCCCCGGGGCAGCGCGGGAGCGGCAGCCCGACGGCCCGGTGGCCCCAGGGCAGGCCAGCCGGCAGCGCCCCGCTCGGGAAGCAGAGGCAACGGCCAGGACGACGCCGCCGACGCGAAGGACAACCTCGAGATCCGACGTCGCAATTACATGCAGAGCCGCGAGAAAGCCCGACCAGAGCCCTGGACACCACCTCTCTGAGGCAAGTACCGAGCCGGATCCACCTGTGATATGTTCCCGGGGTCCGAAGCCGGGCGAAGGCGCCTGGTGCGAAAACCATGCAGCGCCTGGATACCAGGGGGCGACGACGCCGACGGCGAAGGCGACGGCGGCGAAGGCGACGGCGGCGAAGACGCCCGCGGCGAAGACGCCGGCGAAGACGACGGCGCCGACGATGAACGCGCCGCGCCGACGACGAGCGCCGACGGCGACGAGCACCGCGCTCGCGCGCGCTCCTCCCGCAGTGGCCGCCGCCGCCGCCGGCCCCGGCGCTGGAGCTGGAGGCCTCGCGGCGCCAAGCATGCCTCCTCCATTTGCTGCTGCTGCTTCTCTCTCTCTCTCTCTCATTCAGGTCATCCAGCGCCTCCTCCTGCTCCTGCTCCTGCTCCTCCTCTTCGTCCATCCTCGTCCCGCTCATCACTGCTGCTCCTCTTGCTCCTCCTCATCCTCCTCCTCCTCCTCCTGCTCCTCCTCCTTCTCCTCCTCCTGCTCCTCCGCTCCTCCTGCTCCTACTCCTGCTGCTCCTGCTGCTGCCTCTGCTCCTGCTGCTGGTCTTGTTTGTTTGTTTGTTTGTTTGTTTGTTTGTTTGTTTGTTGCTGCTGCTGCTGCTGCTGCTGCTGCTGCTGCTGCTGCTCACCCTCCTCCTCCCTGCTCCTGCTCCTGCTCCTGCTCCTCTTCCTGTTCCTGCTCCTGCTCCTGCTCCTGATTCTGCTGATGCTGCTGCACACTGAAGTGGGGAAGGGAAACCGGACAAGAAGCGAGCAAGGGAAGAGCAAGCGGACAAGAAACGAAGGGGCGAGGAAAAGTCAAGCGTCCACAGACTAGGCGCGAAGAGAAACAAGGAGGTGCGCCCATCCAGGAGGTTTTTGTTGGCACCCGGAAGGACGACCAAAGACCACCCGGGCACCCGCGACAGGGCGCACCTCCCCCCAAAACGGCGACAGGCAGAGGTAAGGAACGAGGCGACAAGGAGAAGGGGGGAGGGGCAGAAGGAGAGGGACAGGAGGCTGATGAGGCGGGGGTGCGGCCGTGGGGTGTGCGCCACCTGACCCCACCGTTAGGCTCGCGCGCGCGTGCTGCTGCTGCTGCTGCTGCTGCAGCTCCTCCTCCTCCTCCTCCTCCTCCTCCTCCTCCTCCTCCTCCTCCTCCTCCTCTCCTCCTCCTCCTCCTCCTGCTGCTCCTCCTCCTCCTCCTCCTCCTCCTCCTCCTCCCTCCTCCTCCTCCTCCTCCTCCTCCTCCTCCCTCCCCCCCATCTCTCCTGCTCTCTCCTTCTCTCTCCTCCTCTCTCCTCTCCAACTGTGCGCTCCTCTCTCCTCTCTCCTCTTCTCTGCTCTCTCCTCTCTGCTTCCTCCTATTACCCAATGGGAATACTACTCTACTCATTGTCCCTGGGTGCGTGGTTGGAGTAAGAATCCGTGGTGAAGATTGTGCTTGTTGCGTTGTTGTCGTTGCTGTTGTTGCTGTTGTTGTTGCTGTTGTTGTTGCTTGTTGTCGTCGTCCCCCCCGCGACCCACCACCCCACCCGCGACCCCACCCCGCGACCCACCCCCGCGACCCACCCCGCGACCCCACCCACCCCGCGACCCACCCGACCCACCCGCGACCCACCCGCGACCCACCCGCGCGACCCACCCGCGACCCGCCCGCGACCCACCCGCGACCCACCCCGCGACCCATCCGCGACCCACCCGCGACCCACCCGCGACCCACCCGCGACCCACCCCGCGACGCATCCGCGACCCACCCGCGACCGATCCACATTGGTTGAAGAAAAATCGGCGCCTGCGGCGGGCTCGTTGTATAATGTGTTAAACGTTGGCGCCTGCGGCGGGCTTCTCCAGAGTCTCGCGGACTGCCGACGTCCCCACCGCCCCCTCACTCTTATCCGCATCTTCGGGATGCTACGTGTCTCCACTGTCTTTGAATCGATCAGATGTTTTCGGTGTCTCAAACTGTGTTCCCGCTGCAGATTTGGCTTCAGTTTGGAAACGGTACTTTGCTCCCATCGTTCAGGATGACGCTCTCGCCCCAGCGCGGGCCACTCTTCTGGATCCGACTGCAACCTCATCGTTGTCTCACCAGTCGCTTCCACTCCCCCGCCTTCCCCTGGTCATCCTGCATATTCCGCTTCTCCCACTCCTGCCCATGCTGATGTTGTTTCTCCTCGTCCTCCTTCTTCCTTCCTCCTCCTCCTCCCTTTGCTCATCCTCCTGTTCATCCGCCCCCCCTCCTCCAGTGTACGCCACTCCTCTCTTGTGGATGCGCGTGACAAAATTGGGTCCTGCTTGGGGTTTCGAGTCCGCAGTGATACCTATCGGCGGAAATATAACAAAACAGCGCAATGGGAAAGGGTCGGATGTCAGAAATGGTGCGAGCACGCCTAGCTCGCCTCTCTCACATTTCCTCTCCTCTCATTTCTCCTCCTCCTCCTCCTCCTCCTCCTCGCCTCCTCCTCCCCCTCCTCCTCGTCGCCTCCTCCTCCCCCTCTCCTCCTCGCCTCCTCCTCCCCCTCCTCCTCCTCCTTCTCCCTCTCCTCCTCCGGATCCTCCTCCTCCTTTTCCCAATCATTCCTCCTCCTCCTCCTGCTCCTTCTCCTCCTCTTCCTTCTTCTTCCTCCTCCTCCTCCCACTCATTCCTCCTCCTCCTCCCTCCTCCTCCTGCTCTATTCATTCCTCCTCCTCCCTCCTCCTCGTCCTCCTTCTCCTTCTCTTTCTCTTCTCCTTCTCCTTCTCCTTCCCTCCTCCTCCTCCTCCTGCTCCTGCTCCTCCTCCTCCTCGTCCTCCTCCTCCTCCTCCCCATCAACCTCCTCCTCCTCCTCCTCCTCCTGCT